AAATGACACAGGTGGCGGCCATTTTGTCAAATTGATGCACGATCACCCACACACAGGACCCTTTGGACCCAGAAGAAGAGGGCAGGGCGTAATGGGGCAGGCCATGCTCCTCCAATTTGCATGGGGGCCAGAAACTGAACTCCATGAAATAGTTGTTGCATGTATTCATTGCTCTGCGTACTTTTTGCTTCTGGCCCTGACCAGTGCTAGTATGTGGACCTCAAAAGGTTGCCCAGGACAGTATGTGGCCCCCAGGATGAAAATGCTCCCCCTCCCTCAGATCTAGACTCAGATCCAAGTGTATCTCAATTTGGAGTAACTCTGGTCTGAGCCATACATGCAGCAAAATGAGGCGGAAGACCTCTGAGGTATTGGGTGGATAGTTTAGTCTGCAGGTTTTTGAACGCGCCTCCCCCCATATCAATAAATCTCCCTGGGTTTGGTAAAGCACCTGTTCAGAAATGGTCTCTGCCATCTCTTGCGGTGACAGACCAAAATTTCTGTTACCTCAGAATACTATCTTATTCTGCTTTGTGTGGAAGCCGGAAACGAAAGGAGCAATCTGAAAATAACTAGTGTGGAAGACAGATTTGATTTATCTTTAAAGTAACTGCATAAGAGTCACCTCTGAGGAGAAGTTCCAGTACTAAAAAAAAACAACCCATAAAAAAACATGTTGGACGGTAAATTGTTTGTTGTGCAGCTTCAAAGTCTCTTTCCTGTGGCCTAGATTATAAGTCCTAAGGCAGCTCCTGCTGTGCAAAAGGAGTTTTTTTCCAGTTGTTCATCTTCTTGGGGATTTTTAACAGGTTTCTGCTGCTGGATCTCAAGCTAATGAAAATGGCGGAGCCCACTTTCTCTTTTATTCTTGGTTTCGGTAGAGTTTATTTTTTTTATTTATATACTACTTGCTTGTAAACTTCCAAGTGGTATACAGAAAGAATAAAACAATACAATTCTCAGTTGTTGTTTTTTAACAAACCAGTTTAAAACAAGTATTTAAAACATTCAAAAATAATTAAAACAAACAGTAAGCCAAAAACCAGATTAAAACACATGCCCACAAGTCTACATTCCTGCCGCTTGTTAAAATGGCGGCTCTCCCAGTTTGACTGGGCCCCTTTTGATCACTATGGGTCCAGATTTGATGCCTGCTAGATGGAATCCAACTGAACCTTAAGATAAACTGAAATTATTACTAGTTGTGTGTATGTGCAGTTGGTATAGTATTTAGTTATTTAAAGTCTGTGTTTGTCCACTAAATTTGATGGCAGTCCTGCCAGGCCAATAACACTGGTTCTGCCATCCCAGGGCGAGATGAAGGCAATAAGGTCTTTTGAACCCCCTTCATCCCAGGTGAAACTGCAATGGATTCCTGCTCATTTCCATTGACCTGAATCTGCACAGAGCAGAGACGGCTGAAGGAGGAACAGTGAGATAGGCTCTATTAAAAGTGGATTTTAAAACCCTTCTCGTGCCTGAGGTGCATTTTATAATAAGAGTGCGTGTCTTACAAAAGCGTCACGGGCCTTCACAATAGGGGTCAGAGAGTTAAAAAGCTATTGTATCCGCCGGTGCAGGAAAAAGCAACTGCACTGCATTATTATTATTATTATTATTTTGGGGGGGGGGATAATAACACCTGATGGGAAACCCCTAGGGGTTGAGTTGAGTCCTGAGGCTGTCAGGTGCTTAACTCATAATTTAAGGCATTATTTTGATTCCCTGGTTTGTTGCAACTCAGGTGATCGGCACATCAGAAATGAGTACGGCCTTATTTTATTGGGGCGGGGGTTATCATTAGGTTAAACATGCAGTTACCCCCTCAGTGTTATTAATTCCGGCGAACAATCAGCATAAATTGCAATGTGAAACCCTTTCATTCTCTGCCCTCCCTCACCCTGGAAGGTTTAAAAAGCGAGAAAGTTGGGTCCCATCCCCCCCCAGTGCACAAATGTTCAATAGAATTGCTGGAGGGGGGTGATATTAATCAATGGGTTAAAATTTCCCCCGCTGTGTGTGCTCATTCTGAAAGCCACTGAGCTACCTCTGAAGTGGTGTGAGCACCCTCGTTTCCCAGTGCTCAGCATGCGATTTGACGCAGCACAGCCATTTGAAGGATGAGGCCAGTATGATCCATTAATCTGTTTTGCTTTTTCAGTTAAAACGGGGGGTGGGGGGAGCTTTGGCCAGCTCTCTCTCACATCCCCCCCCCAATCCTACCATCTCCAGGAAACATGCAATTGCAATGGATTTATTTCATTTGGAGGTTCAGGGGACAAGAAATCAACTGCGGTTCCTTTTGATTAGTTGCGTTTCTGAACATAATGACCCGTTTTGTTAGTCCCGGGTTATTGATGGCTCTCTCTCGTACCATGTGGGGTGGGGGCTTTCCCCCCATTCACGTCAAATGTGTACTTTTAATAAAGGGTAATGTGAGGAGAGGAGGAGTCACAGAAATATGGTCCCCCCCCCCCCTTTCCCAGTTTAATTTAGCTGAGGTTCAACGCGTAACTGAGTCAGCAGGCGTCTTGTATTAAAATGTGAAAAGAAATCCAAATTCTTATTAATTTAAATAGGAAAGATTTTTTAATAATAATAAATAATTTGCTGCCGATTGTGGATTAAGTGCCTTCTCGGGAGGCTTACGATTTGAACCCTACGGCCCAGTATTTATGACTAGCGAAAGACTTGCCATTGTGATGGCATTAAAGCTGAGCTGAAAATTCTCAAAAGGCTCCCCCCCCAATTAAAAATTATGCAGTTTCCTTTTGCTCAACGTCCCTTTCCGTCACTGGTTCCAGGGTACTGGAGGATGCAGATCAGAAGTCAGGCTTCAAGCAACAGGGTTACTGTAGCTTCTGCTGCCTCTGCTTGTAGTATAAGCCCCACTCCCCTTAAAAAAGTAACCTAGGGAAGAAAGAAAACAGAGAGCCTTCCATAGCCACTGTTTCTCCTAGCCCATGATAGCTATGAATTTGTGTAATTCTCTTTTTAAAGCCAACTAGGTTGGTGGCCATCACTGCTTCCTCTGTTAGCGAGCTCCAGATGTGCTTGAGTGGTTGAAAGGGTCCCCCTGGTTTCTGTTCCCACAAATATTTATGCATTTGTTTGCCAATTTATAAAGGGTTGTACAGCCAAAAGCTACCAAAGGGTGGCAACACGAGGAAGGGCCTTCTCTGCAGTGGCTCCCTGTTTGTGGAATGCTCTCTCTAGGGAGGTTTGCCTGGTGCCTTCATTCTACATCTTTAGGCGCCAGGTAAAAACCTTCCTCTTCAATCAGGCCTTTGGCTGATTGACGTCCAATGCCCTTTAAATGTGTTGTGAGAGAGGGGATTATTGTTTTGTTTTCGTTCTTCTTGTTCTTGTGCATTTTGTGTTTTTTATATTGTAATTCTATGTTGTGAACCTCCCTGAAATCTATGGATGAAGGATGGTATGCAAATTTAATAAATAGAAACAACAACAGAAATTAATAATAATAATAATAATAATAATAATAATAATAATAATAATAATAAATTTTATTTATATCCCGCCCTCCCCAGCCGAAGCCGGGCTCAGGGCGGCTAACAACACTAAAACAATGCAACATTATAAAAACATTATAAAAATTAATTAAAATACAAATTGATGGCAACCATAAACTAAAGTTTTGTAAAGATTGCCAAAGGAGGGAGTCAGGCTGCACCCTGACCAAAGGCCTGGTGGAACAGCTCTGTCTTGCAGGCCCTGCGGAAAGATGTCAAGTCCTGCAGGGCCCTTGTCTCTTGCGACAGAGCGTTCCACCAGGTTGGAGCCGCAACCGAAAAAGCTCTGGCTCTAGTTGAGGCCAGCCTAACCTCTCTGTGGCCTGGGACCTTCAAGATGTTTTTATTTGAAGACCGTAAGTTCCTCTGTGGGGCATACCAGGAGAGGCGGTCCCGTAGGTACGAGGGTCCTAGGCCGTATAGGGCTTTGAAGGTTAAAACCAGCACCTTAAACTACCTTATAGTGTAGCATTTTATGTTTTCCTCACCGGGGTGTTTGAAGGCCATGCACTTACTTGGAGAAAGTAAAGTGTTGCACTCAAGGACACCCCATCAGTGTGGGGGCTAAACCTGCTTTGCACTCCTAGTGACCCCAGCCTATCTGCATGGACCCTCCCTTACTTTGCTGTGACCTAAGTATGTTGGTCATGCTGGAATGTGACAGGATGTTGGGAACCAGCTCTTATACGTGTCCTTGACAGCAAGGGCCACAGATCAGTGAATCTGCCTCAGGTTTGGCTTGAAGAAGGTTCCACATTCAGTCTGCAGCTGAGGTGATGTGAGATACTTCTGATGAGACCCTGGAGAGCTACTGGGATTGCCTAGTTGGTAGAGCATGAGACCCTCAGTCTCTGGGTCGTGGGTTTGAGCCCCACGTTGGGCCAGTCAAAATAGCCATTAGCGGTCTTATTGGGCAAATAATCTTAAGGCAGCTTCTTTAGATGGGTGATACCTCATGGGTAGGTTTTTTGTGGGGGGGACAAGTAGGCTGTTAATTAGTCAGATTACTTTAAAAACTGTGCAGGTAGTCTTGGTGCGAGTTGCTCAGAATTGACATACAAATAACACTTGAATCTTGCTCCCAAATTAATATCAAAGGAAGGAGGGGAAGCGCTTGTTCGTACTAACGAGGGCATCAGTCTTTGTAGGTTAATAGCCTTGTAAAGCCTTTTTAAGGAATCAATTATGCTTCGCTTGGATGCATTGCTGAATCTTTTGTCTGCAGTATGGGTTGTTTCGTTATTCTCCCCCCCCCCCTTCTTTCCTTTATGACATCTGTTTTACAATGTACAAATGATGCTTGAAAGGAAAAAATTAGCTTAGAACAATGATTGCTAAATGTGCAGTGCATGTTATGTGCAGCGCTTCTCTGTAAATTACCATACCCTGGTCTCTAGGTGTTGTTTCTCAACAACAGCAAAAACAAAAACATTCCAGAGATTTAATTGTGCCTTATGTTGCAACAACTAGGGGGGAATTTCGAGAGCGCTTTCGACGCAGACAAAGGTGTGGGGACCATTGTCATCGCAAAGCCCCTGGATGCGGAGCAGAGGTCTGTGTACAACATGACTGTGGAAGTCACGGATGGCACAAATGTGGCAAGCACTCAGGTAAGGCATATCACATCAGTTTCCTACGCCAAATGCTTCTGCTTTGTTTTGCAGGAATTGCAAATTATTTCAAGTGCATCATGTAAAATGGTGCCGTTTAGGAATCTCAGACCATTTCACATATGTCAGTTTTAAGCTGTGCATCTTGTTCCTTTGAATTCTGTGGATTCCAGCAATCTGTTCATCACCTCCTCGGTTGATGTGCAGAGTAGAATAAAACTGTTATTCAAATTTTGCACTTCTCCAAATTCTGCAATACAGTTCTCAGTGCAAAAAGACTTAGCGAAATGTATTCAAAATGTGCATTTTAGAGTAAGGCACTTTTGGAAATGCACACGCTGAGATTAAATCTGTTATTTAAATATGTAGTTTGTGATAAAACACATATTTAAACAGTACTTTTAGAAATAAAAACCCACAGCTTAATTCAGAAGTGGATGAAACAGACTATTGAATGAACAAACTGATCAGTTGCAAAACTGATTGGACCAGAAACAGAAAATCCATCCATTGTGTGCTGCGAGAAGGTATTACTAACAATGAAGTGATGCAGCCATTTGCTCATTCAGTTGTACATTTATAAGCCTGCCTTCCATCCAATATAGGGCAACAATGTTTTATTGAGGTCTTCTTGATCTCTGGCGTGTTCCCTGCATCCTTAGCTATTCATTGTTCCTGACTTTTTGTTTGCTCCTCAACCTTTCCTCCTGGTGGGTCCTCAGTTCTCGTGTTCTGGTCCTATGCCAGAAACACAAGGGAAAATGCAAGGCTGCTGGACCATGGACAGCTTCGAGTGAGCAACATACATGAGCAAAAGTTGGGAACAGATTAAGGCCTCTTGTGCAACAAATTAAGTTGATGTGGGGAGGGGAGGCCATCTCCTTTTGTTTGTTCATATGGCCACATGCCTGGATGAAACCCTTCCCTAGGAAAGTATCAATGGCAGATCTCTTGATGACCCTTAAGCATCTCCCAGCCTGTAGCCTATTCCCTTGTTATGCTTTAAGACACCTGCACTTCCAATGATACTTGCCAAAAGAAAAAAAGAAAACCCCCAAAACATGATTCTGGGGGAGTGGGTGGCTATAAGAAATCATCCAATATGTCAGTTCTCTTCTTTGTGCTAGATATATATATATATCTCCTAAATTTCTCTCTTGTGTCACAGCTAGACTTGTCCACCAGCTCCAACCCATGGAATGAAACCATATTTCATCTTCATTCCATAATATCACCTGCTCATCTTCAGTTTTTTTTAATTCTTGCCTTGGCAGCATGTCCGCTATGTAGTCGGAGGTGGTAAAAAGCATTGTAGAAACGCCAGAGCTTGTTTTATAATAATTATTATTATTCAATAATGTGATCAGTGGTGTGGATCTGCTGAACAGCTTTAGTTCCAACACTGTTGCCCATCTATTACAGGGCTGTTTTCCCCTCGCCTCCTAAAAACCATTATGACTTCCTTTTCTTCCTCCCCAGCCTCTCCGCATAGCCCATTACTACCTTAGTAAAGGGAATCAAATGACCGTGGTTTAAAATTCACACATGGGTTATGTTACTTGTGTGTTAGCTTTGATGGCAGCTTACCAGAAAAACTCAGGATACTTTAGGAGGCACTAAGCCCTTCTCTATAAATTCAAGGAGAGGTCTGGGGGGAATGGTAGAAGTCAAGTGTGTGTGTGTGTGTGTGACTCCCCAAGCGACTACTTTGAAAGATTATATTTGTGTTAATCAGTTGTCTTCAGCCATCACACTCTCTTTGTGGACAGATAGCCGCCACCAATGCTTTAATGCCAGAAAAGATCCATCTTAATGTGGATTTTGCTGGGACTTCAAGCTGAACGGTGGCAGTGGGGAGAACGTTGATTTACTTGATTTATTATCCGCATGTGAGTATGAAGGTACCTGTCAGATTGATTAACTTTAACAAAGACTGAGCCAGGAGGACCACGCCAGCAATGGGCTTTCTGAGTTTTTCTGAGCCCGATTCATCACAGCCTGAGGGCATGCAGTAATTTACGGAAGGCTGGGTTTGTGCGCGCGCCATTATTTTGCTTTATTTTTGTGTGTGTAATTGCCTCGGGATGTCTTGGCTTGTACCTTTTTTTTCCAGAAATGGGGAACGGGGCAGCTTCGTCTCTTCTGCTGCTTGAACGTAACTCCAAGCTCGTGTGCATAAAGGGAAATCAAGAGCTTGCCACACATCTGTGATAATCATTTGGTGTAAAGCCTGCATGTGGCACAATGCAGATTGCATTGATGTGTCCACAGATTTCATATGGGGATGTTTGGGATAAGGATGGCAAATTCGTGTTGCATGTTAGTAGCGCTGTATTAATTTTAAAAACTGAAGCCTCATCATTGTGATAAGTGTATGTATGTGTTATGTCAGGGATTTACATTTCTCCCTTCCATTAAATTGCCAGAGCACTCTGCAAAATTTCAAAACTCAGTTGCATCCAAGAGGTCTAAAAGGAACATCTTAATTAGTTGGTACAAATCAAAAATTGTGGGAATGGGGAAGTGACTCCCAGACTTAGTTTGTATCCTTAATAGAAGGGGTGTTCACAATTGCTTTTCCATGCATGGTGCTCCCACCTTAGCCTAGGTCCTCAAAGCACAGGAGTTGGGCAGATGCTCTCCCCACATTTCCATTCTAGTAGCCCTTCAGAAGTTGGAGGGCTAGGAGACTTGAGTCTGAAGCCCCCTATATTCATGGAGATGATTCCTTCCCTGGACCTTTAAGGGTTCTAAAATGTGAAGGAAGCCTCCACAGATTCATGATCCAGCTTGTCTAGTGAAAACCATATTGGAAGCAATATTAAATCAGTGGGTCTCTTACTCCCTCTTGTCATCTCTTCTTCCTCCAAAACACCCTGTATAACTCAGCTACTTAATAAGTATTAAGGCTGCAATCCTAACCCCACTTACCTGGGAGTAACCCCCTTGAATTCAATAGGATTTACATCTGAGTAGACATGGTTCGGATTGGACTGCTATACCACCACAACATTTTGCTTCAAAGGCCAATGTAATTGTTCTTGGCACATCACATATTTTTTTTTTATTCAGATGCAGTTTTGGCCAAACCCAAAGGTATTTCTGATGGGCAACATTGGATCCCGCTTTGGAAGAGACTCGCCTACTCTGGATTTTTAATTTGCTTTGATTTAGCTGCATTTCTTCGGGTCTTTTCAGCTGCTGATTCCCCACCCTCTGAGTAGAACATCTTTGCTAATGCTTTGAGTGTTGCTTTGCTAATTTATAAGCTCAGGGGCCTCAAAGAGCCTTTATTTGGAAGTGCTTTAACTGTGGGAAATCGGAAGTAAGCAGGGAAAAGGAAATCTTTTATATTCAGGCAACATCCCTTGACTGTAAATGAGGCCTCTTGGATCTAGTTCTCTCAAACATGCAATGAGGTCATATACCTGTATCCTGACTTGTGATTGGATGTGTGAATTGATATGAATGGAATTGCTCTTCCATGGGGGCAATGGGAGGAGAGAATAAATTCCCATGCACATAGAAAACTAGTACGTCAGGGAGAGGGCAGAACTAGAATGCTTCTCTCTGACACCTAGTTTTCCCCAGTTGTCCTTGCTCTGCCAGGTGGTCTGATGAGAGTGAAATAGCCCCTCCCACAGGTAGAATCTTCTAATTAGGACCCTGCCTGTTCATTGATGGAAGGAGACACCTCGGTATTGAGACTGCCCTCCAAGATTTCCATTTTTCTGTGTGCAGGAATTTTGTGTGTGCACAAGGGGTGCATTCCACCATGCAACCCATCTGCGCTTTGTGAAAAACAGGCCTTAACAGTGTGAGCAGAAATGGTCCAGTGGTTTAGAACTCACTCTGTCCACATTACAGATGTTGTGTGGTTTAATGGCCATCTTAGCAGCTTTGCTTACCAAGGATGTTTGAATTAGGAATAGGTGGAAGCAATGAATCTTAGAATCAGAAGATCCCAGGAGTCTGGGAGCATGACTGTCCGGCTGCAATTCCTAAACTCGTTTTCTACCAAGTAGGGATAAAAGGAGGTATCAATTCTGCCCTGCATTCAGTGCATGCAGCACTGTTTCTGTTCCGCTGCAATTAGCTTCCAACAAAAACTATGTTGTTCCTCGCTGTCCGTTATGGAGAAATGCTTTAATCATGTAACTCTGCACCATTCATTTCAGATGAAAGGAAACACAATGCAGATCGGAAGAAAGAGCATCATTAATTCCGTATTGTCATCTATTGCTTGCAGTCTGCAAACAACAATTGTGTTTGCTGGATTGATTTCTGTAATTTGTGGGATATATTGGCTCCACTTTTTCGTGGGGCTGGGTTGCAGTCAGGCCTCCTGGCCACTCCCCTCAGTGTGGGGTGGAACGGCATCCCACGTCACGCTGGGGGAGACCCCGGCCACGCCACGTAGCCAGGTGGCCAATCAGGCCGTTTCAGGGGGCGTGGCCAGGGCCGATTGAAGCAGCGGCGCAACTCCTAACATTAACCTAAAATTCTGTGTCCTCGTGTCTTTATTCTCCTGGGGTAGCTAGGGGGTCTTGACACACAAATAAGCGAACATTGGTGATTTCCACTCCAATTTCTGTTTTCACCAGAATTATGTAACATCCCTACTAGCAAGCAAGTTCCACCGAGCTTAGTGGGATTTATTTCGGAATAAGCATGCTTAGGATTGCATGGCATTTTTGTAACCTTGCATCATCCATATGGAAGGAAGGTGCTGCAAGTTGCCACCCCCCTAGGAATAGCAGTAAGGAAAAGACTCTCCAGACTGGAGCACTTTGGCAGCAGCAGCCAGCACACAACTCCCTTCTCTCTTTCCCCTTTTAGTGTTCGAAAAATGTGAGCTCAGAATAGCAAACTGGGCTGTGTTGAACATCTCAGTCTCGTCATTTGGTGAGCATCTCAATTGCCCTGGACAGTCAGTTCTGCACAATAAAAGGATTATACAATAGGTTTTTTCTGTTAAGCTGCATCTTTCATTCTCTGAT